GAGGCTCTATTGTCAGAAATGAAATATAATATTAGTTTAATATTATAATATTAGGTATGTTTTCATTAGTGTATAATCACCTGAATGTAGGACTCATTGTGTTTTTGTTACTTTAGAATGAGCTATGAGAATGAGCTATCTACAGAAGGAGGGGGTCCACTTCTACAACAGCAACCATAGTTTCCCTACACATTTAACAGCTCGTTCTAATTCCCAGGTTGGCAAGCACAGACACCAGCTGTGTTCAATTAGTTGCAATTTGCAACTTCACCACTAGATACCACTAAATCCTACACACTGGTCCTTTCACTTCATTTATGTAACATGGCAAACAAATTGTCATGCCGGAATTGCATCATTACTCCCCCTTCATCTTTATTTTACTGTTGCAAGCAGTTTCACGACTCATTATAGATCATTTATATTCATTTCTGAACCTTGCATGATTCTATGTTCTAGCATATTGTAGCATGTTTGAGGTTTTATTGAATATAATTTTCAGTCCTGCTCCGGGAGCAGAACAGTCCTTTAAGTATAGGTTTCAGGAGCTGGTTGCACCAACTAAATTTAAACTTAGCATAGTGAGTGTAAGCTAATTAAGTGTTTATTAAATGGAGATTAGCGCATTACTAAATTAAAATGCACCTCAAAAAACCAAACACAAGAACACAAGTTCTTTCATGGATTAGTTATAGCTAATTATTTTCATCCAGTAACTGCTAGGAGTAACTGTTTCAAAGCTAACTAAAGTTACTGACACTAACGTTAGCTTTTTAGTGTATGACCGATCTGACACATCTGACATGAATCTCAATAATGACGTAAACTGGGAAGAATTAAAATTATATTTCACAAAAATATGCAATTTACATACAGTATACAAGTTACTAAACATGCTTAAAACTAGCATTAGTTGGGTTAGCAAATTCAAATATTTCCTGCTCATTCTAAAGTATGCATATGAATAAATACTATTATATCACAATTACAGTCGCTTCCTGTTAACATAGCTAATTGCCTTTAATTAGATGATGCTACACATTTTTTCTAGCACCAGATTTACACATTACTTAAATCTTTACTAGCTGATGCCGCTATACGTGTTGGTTATAGTAAGTACGAGTTTTCAATTTGTATCAAATTCTCATAGATATAAAAAAACTTTTTGTGAAACCTCTAACCCAATTTAATAATATGAGAAGTGCCTAAAAAATAATAGAGTGCTGCAGGGATTATTTATGTTTGTAGGCTAACCAATGCTTGTTAGGATTTTGGATTGTTGCAGAAAATAAGCTAAAAAGCTAATGTTATAAACAAACTACACCATGGTCGCAGTGTGGTGTTTGCAGTGAAGTTTAATAGGGTGGAGTGAGTACACCATTGCTTAAACCCAAAGTTGTTCATTTAAACCTGAAATTGATATGGGCTGATCGGAGGCTTCTATATTTATTAGAAAACAGAGCAATGTTTTTGATCACAAGAATAGGATAAGATAACAGATGGTTTTTTTTAAATAAAAGTTGCTATATTTAAGAGTTTGGACACATTTTACTAGTTTGGTACTCGTAAAAACTACATTATCTGTACCGGATACTTGTTTGAGACGAGTACTCGCCCAACCCTAACGTTTAACGTTGCATTTAGCCCCATGTTAGCAACTGCTGTTTTTAAGACACGTAAAAGCTTCAAAATTCATGAGTGGGGTATTTACTGACGTATTTTATGTTGTAAAACAAAACGGGAAAATCTCTCTGACCTTTTTTAGGCATTTAACAAACCCATTTTTAATTCGAGACGAGGAAACGGACTGGGTTTTTGGCTCCTTGCAGCACTTCATTAAACTCATATTTAGTGAATATGGGTAATCATACAACTCTCTTGACTTGTCCAACGATGTGAACACTTGCAACTTGTTAAGTCTTTTAGAATGTCTACAATCCATATGACTTGAGCGTGGCATCGGACATTTCTTTACAGCTTTACAGGTGCACTTTCTAAGATCTTAGGAAGGACTTTACTCACAGACTAAGTACTGAATTTACAGATGGCTGGTGCAACCCTAACCTGGTCATCCCTGGTGTCAATTCCAGAGTAGGTAGTGGGGGGGAAAGCCTGCAGGGCTACAATTAAACCTTTTACCAATATTTTTGGATGGTGTGCTGGAGGATTGAGGCATGCCATGATATTAAGGCAATAAAACAAATCTATTTAACCCTCTGTACACTGAATGAAGAGTGCAGTAGTGTAAAAAGGTCTAAGAGTGACGGTTTGTTGTTGTGGCTCTCTCCTTGTTTTATAGCCTGTTAAATCCAGCTCGTCATTTTTTCTTTCACTCAAGACACCGCCCAGCGTTGTGCTGGTGTTGTGTGAGTACACTGGGGTTTGTCGAGGGTTGCTAAGAAGGACCCCCTCTATAATAGAAAATCTGTTGGGAGGGAGTAATGCAACACAACCCACAGGAAACTGAAATCTTTTTTCTTCTGCTCCTTCCTTTTTCTAGTGACCGCAGCTTCTATGAGTAGAGGGCTCTGGAGGAATGAAGCAACCATCTCGCCACCAACAAGCCATCCACAGGACACCCACCCACGGCCCATCCATCCATCCGTCTGTCGGTCTATCTGAATACACACCTGGTCCAAGAGAGGAACAAAGGAGTCCTCTTCATCTCAGCATGTCTCCACCTCTCTCCATCCTCCTGCTCATTATCACCTACTACACGACATATCGCAGCAAACTACTGGAAGTCGTACTGTTACAAATCTGTTATCTGTAAAGAAATTGCAATAGATGATTGTAAAAAAGTGCTGTTTTGTGCATCGTGCGTAAAAATAACAACAAAAAAAGCCATGTATGTTTTTCGCTATAGTATGTGTTGTAATTGTTGCATATCTCTCGTCCTGCTAAAGGTAGTTATTGTTATTGTGATATGTATCCTCACAAACACAAAATACACCCGGACTGACACAAACCCAGAAGCCCTTTGGATATTAAGATGTGAATCTATGAGAGGCTTTTAGTGAATGTGTAGTGGCTGTAAAAAAGAAGCTGTTCCATGTGTAAATGTAAACCCTTTAAATATACAGTATGTAACTTGTTCATGTTCTGTAAATAGTATATATAGACAAAATGCAGTATATCACCAGAGTAATTTAAATGATCTGTACCAAGTCTATTTCGTACTATATCAGTATGATTCTTCTTCCCTTATTGCTCCGGAGATGTTACCAGGTTACTGTAATAGTGAAAGTAAATGTTGGATTGTTGGCCTGTCTGTCTGTGTTGCGTGCAGTACAGTTCAGTCTAGCTAGTGTAGCTACGGCATCATCAGTGTTAAAAAATAACAGAAAATATTCTGCACTTTTAACATTGACTCAAAAAGACTTAAGTACTTATCTCAACTCGAGCTTGTGTCCGCTCGTGTGCGCATGTGTGAGGGACTAAATGCTGCATGTGTCCAGTGTGTGAGTGCGTGTGAGTGTGTGGTGGCAGGATGTGCTTCTGAATGTGAGCATGCGTGTGTTTTAAGTGTGTGTGTGTGCATCTGGAAATCCGGGTTTAGACATTTGGTGGTTAATTTGATTTGTGGGGTTTTTTCTCATGTCATGTGTTCAGTGCTTACTGTTTATAAAAGTTTCTTGTTTTGGTTCTGGACCATTTGAAACTTGATGTGTGATTAATAAATAGAAATAAATATTAAAAAAATGTTGTGTCAGTTGCGCGTCGTGTGGTGTTGTGTCAGATATAATTAATATATCAACATGCAGATGTATTATTGCAATAAAAGGCACAGATGCACAGAAAAAAGAAACTTCCAGCTGCTTGTCTGGTCTCATTTATTTATTGATCGATGGATTTAGCGACATCTAGTGGTGAAACTACAGATTACAATTAACTGAACACCATTTGCGTCTGTATTTGACAACCTCATTGGACGACCTCATATACTAATGAAAACATACCTATGAATATTATATAACATTTCTGCTAATAGTTCCTCCTAAATGTTACACACTGAACCTTTAATGATCAATTACAATTTTGATAATACTACTACAATACATTATAGAGGGGAATATTATACTTTTTACTCCACTACATTTGTTTGACAGCAGTTGTTACTGATGACTTTACATAATCAACTTTTACATCCCCTCTGGACAAAAGCGGTAGTGATTCCACGGCCTTGTTTCATTCATTTCAACGGGAATCTGACTCAGTGGCAGGCATTAAGAATAACTTTACAAAAACAGCCAATCTTCTCCCTGATGGTATTGTTTGTTTATGTAGAGGCATCCGTATTATATTGAGACTTTTCCATAACCAGTTAAAAACTTGTTGTAGTATGTTTAAACCAACAATAAACAGCATAAAGTAGTACATATTAGCATCATCTATATCAGCTACACCATAAAAATGCTACATACACAAGAATCAGTTGGATCAGTTGGATCTGCTGCATAATGAGAACTTTTGCTTTTGACACCTTAAAGCTGCAGTAGGTAACTTTTATAAAAATATTTTTTGTTCAAACTTCCACTATGTTAAGTTATTCTTGATCAAACAGCTTGGTTTGAACAGTTTGGTACCAGTATTTAGCTTTAAGATTGAGCCATCTACAGCTTCTGAAAGACAGTGTGGAGTGGAAGGATAATGGGGTGGCACTTGGGGTGGCCAATCCGACCCCAGGCTCCCCTTCCTGCAAACACCCCTGGCCCCTTCTAACTGGCATTTACAGTAAATGTAAGTAAATATCATAAAATTAAAAAAATCAAGTAGCCTAAAGTGTACCACTAATTCATATTTACTTTGAGTATACTACGGTTTCTTGTTTATTTTAGTAGAATAAATAATGTGAATTTATTTGGCCGGTGGAAAAACATGTGAGATTCCCCTTTAACTCTTCCAGGCTCTCGGGATTATGCAACCGCCCGAACCCCCTCCAGCGGCAGTACTCCTCTTCGGCCGTTAGAGGGCGGTGCGGAGCCTGTTGACGAATAATTTCCCGGCGGCAGCTCCACTTCTCCTGACCCGCATTCACCCGTACTGTACAGGCAGGGAAGAGGAGGAGGGGGAGGGGGGAGGACCGAGCACAGAAAGCAAACAGACGCTGTGGAGCTCTCCTGCAGACCGTGGCCATGACTTTGGCAGTCCCCGGCAGACGCGGTGCTTCCGTCTCCTCACACCTGATAGCGGACTGAGAGGGGGGGCGACCTCCGGTAGAGCCGGTGGCTAACGTTACGCCGTTTGAGACCAGCTGGCTGTTATTTGTTCTGCTTTTTCTTCCCGTGTTTACACGACTGTTCCTCGGTCACTGGCTCTATGTTGACGGTACAGGAGGCGGTTTTGTACCACAAGTCGAGCATTGGTGAGTGTCAGTGTCAGTGTATTGCAGTTAGTGGCGTACAGTGAGAGCTCCTTTATGGGGCGGAGGTACTCCGTGAGGGCTGCTGTCCTCACGTCAACCCGGGCGCTTTAACACCGGCCTGCTTACTGTACTGTACTGTACTGTACTGTACCAGTAGGTTAAAGCAAGGAAGCTTGGGCAGTACACTGATATGCACCACAGTGTGCCATTGGAGATAGTGACCTGCACCACTGCCATGTGCTTCTTAACACTAAGGGACCTGGGTCGTGAGTTCACGGTTGCTGCGTACGGGTAATGATTATATTAAAAAAAAATAATTAACTTAGTAAACTTTTTTGTTCAAATTGCTGGAAATTTATCCTATATCGCTGACAGCTATTTTAATGTTAGTATCTTGATTATGCCCTGTAAAAACATTAAAAAATTAATATACTCTCAGTTTCTTCTTTCTGCTCTGTCCTATGAGTCTCTTATATTAAAATTATACTAGATGCATGAGATAGTTGACAGCTATGATGGCCAGTGTTGTGACCCTGCTACTAGCGGCTGCGGCGGCTTGAGACATGGTGGTAGCGGTAAAGTATGATATCATTGTGTGTGTGTGTGTGTGTGTGTGTGTGTGTGTGTGTGTGTGTGGTAAGGTCAAAGGTTAGGAGAAGGAATGTATTGTTAATTGATTGTATTTTATTTCCAGGATGACGACAGCATCATCTGCTTCATATGTGGACCAATCAGACGTGGTTCTATGAATTTGGGCCCAGAGCAGCCCTGGGTTGGGGTAGGTGACCTGCACTGTGTTGAGGGGTCAGACTCTAGCGTGGGAAATGAAAGGTGATTTCACATAAACTGTAACATGCTTACGGTAAAGGTTGCTCTGCCTCGCTGCGTGCATCAAGCGCAGCTTCACGTTTCACATGACCCGCTGTCACTCCACATTTTGTGAGCGAAAAATATTTCCCAGCTGGAGGTGACGTGACATTTTTGACACGGCGTGACTCATCAGTCACTTGTGTCGAAAATCTTCAAATGCAGCCGAGAAGTCCATGGTGAATGTCATGCTGTCATACTTCCAGAGAGGTAGACAAGCAGGAAAGCGCTCATGTGAACACAACTGGATGTAAAAGAAGAATGAATGTGGGACCCAAAATGATATTTCCCTGTAGTGTGTAGTAGTCTGGCCTACATAAAATGACACAGGAAGCACTCTCACTTGCGTTTCCTCCAGAAACCCAGTTAGGATTTAGGTGGCCAGCAGTTTTTATTAGTTTTCAGCAACCTTTCAAAGATTTATTAGTCTTTGAGTCCTTCCCTCAGACTTGTTTTCTTGGAGGAAACGAAATAGGTCTGAGTGGGCATTATTTTTTGAAAGCAGCTTTACAAGCAATGTCACAACACTTGAAGCGAAATAATGCTAAAATGCAGTTAATATGTATTTGGCAGGTATATGCTGCCTGTCAGGATTCCACTAACATCACAGAAAACAGAAAAAATGTATATTGCTACTACATGTAGTAGTCCTCTGAAAGCAATCACAATGTAAATGCTCCTGGAATCAATCACAACCATAGAAAGCCCATGTAAAAATGCATGTGTGCATACAAAGCCATAATCTCTGCCCGCAGCCAGACGTGACCTCTTTTGACGTCCGTTCCCAACAGCCCCCCCCCCTCCTCGCCATAGCATGGTGCTGTAAGGCAGCATCCTGGTTTCCCGAGGTTAAGGCTTAATGTATGGCCAGCGCGAGGAAGGGAGGGGAGGAGGAGAGACAGGAAGGAAATCCAGTCTCTCTCTCTCTCTCTCTCTGTCCCTGTGCCTGCCTCAGTCTGAGGGAAAATCGGTTACATAACAGGCGCTGTGGAGGCAGCCACTGCCCCAGTCCCTGAGGTTCCACGGCCCACTTACATCACAGACGTGTAGACAGAGGGGGGAGGGGTTTACAGTCAGCTATCCAGTTGGTTTTATAGTCTAGTTTAATAGTTTTTGTATTGTGTTAGTAAAGTTTTGTAGATGATAACAAATAGCATTTATCAATATGTAGTATATTTCTTATTTCTAATTAGTTATTAAAGCTGCAGGTAATTATTATAGAACTTTTTGTCATATTTGCTGAAACTTTCCCTATATCCTGGCAGTAGAACATGAGACAGCGTCACAAAGCGTCTGTATTTGTCTGTCTGTATTTTGGTTGCTTTCGTTCAGGCCCGGTGGATACTTGCAAATAGGAACACTAGGAGGAGCCAGAGGAACCGGACAGGGCATTTTTCACTCTGGGTTGACAGACCAGAGTTGGCAAGTGTGCTGATCAACTTGACATGATTATTATGATTATTATGATTATTATGTAGTGTTATGTGACATTTTATGATGTCAGACCCCTAAGTATGAATCCAATACTAGTATGTGAATGGCATACTGTTTACTGGGAAGTATTCCAGTATGCAAGCATAGTGGTAGTGGTACCGTTGGGTACTGGTTCTAAATTCCAGGTCCCAGTACGGTATCGGTTAAAATGCTACCTAACCCTGTTCGCCATGTCATCTGTATTGGCTGATAAAGCCTTTAATATGAAACATCAGCAATTTGTTCAGATAGGACAGGCTGATAAAATGAAATGAAATGACCCTGTTACTGTTACTGTATTATAAAGTTTACAAAATGGATTGCAAAGTTGCTGTTTGCAATGACTGCTCAGCATTGGTCATTCCAACACTACAGATTTAATTACCCGTCCTATGAGCTGTCATCCCGATTATTACGACCAGTTTGTGACAACAAACAAACAAACAAAACAGCCACCAGTGATAAACACCTGTCAGCAGCGTCTTTTCCAGCCTATAAACAAAACAAGAAAATACGATTTATTTACATTGTTTTGCAACTTGACAAAAAGTCAAATTTACCCTGGTTGTTTTGAGCTCTAACTTTCTAAAGTAATCAAAATGTAATAAAGACAGTAGTTAATATTGTGTAACTCCTGCCTTTGTCTTTGTCTTGTCATACTTTGTTAACAGAGCTCTTGGTGTTTTTTGCTGAAACAATGAGTTGATTAAGTGATGAATGGATCAAGAGTATTAACAGTAACAGTTCATGTGTGAAGTAAAGTTCATTTGATAGTGCAATCTTGTCAAACGTGAGAATAAGCTGCTTTTCTCTGATTTTTATATCGATCTAAATTCAATATCTTTGGGTTTCGGGCTGTTGGTTGGACAAAACAAGACATTTGAAGATGTTACTTATGGATGTCTTCCCCCCTTTTCTGAAATTTTATAGACTAACCAATCAAGGAATCTGAAAAGTTACCTACGGATGAACCACTAATGACCGTGTTCCTTAGTGGCAGGCCTATGTGTAACCAGGTAAATGAGAAGGAAGTAGAGGCAGAAAACTGAGAGACTACTGATTGAAGTTACCACCTGGTGGATGTACATACTGTACACACTGCTTGACTGAGCGCAATATAAAACAGGCTGTACAGCTCACAAACACAGGGTATTATTGAGCCTTGGGGCTGCTCCTCGTTGCTAGTTTCTTTGGAATGTTCTGTCCTTTTCAGTCAAGGCAGAGACATCTTTATGTAAGGCAGCCTCTATTCAATTAGTGTTAAACACCAGATCTATTCCACACAAAATCAGCCAGCCAAAGACAATCCTCCCTCCATCTGACAGGAAATGACACAAAGAAGGTCTTTAATCAGGCTTGAGAATCACCAGAAGTCTCTTGACATGTCAGTTTAGGACCCTGACATACTGCTTTTATTGAGTTTGAGTTAATGTTGTGTGTGATTTAAAGGAATATGTCCTCAAAACATTAGTTTTGACAAAGCAGGACACATAAACAATTGGAAACAGATATGGAAAGAGTTTGTAGATGTTGTTTTTTGCAGTGTCTTGCAAATGCATGTGTTTGGAGACATATTGAACCCATTAAGGAGATATTAATCAGAAAACTACTCTTTATTATTACTGTAGAGTCTGTTTTGTATTTCCTCACTGATTTCCACCATTGTTGTTGCTGTTATGTTTCTGCCCACCTTGACAGCCACAACCAGTTCACCAATGGAACATGATGCACTAAAATATTCACATTGATTATAATCAATGTTATCTTATTATTATATCATATCATTTGACCGCAAACATAGAAATTCACACGTGTTAACATTAGGGATGGGGCCGTTCCGATCCAGTATCGGTATCGGGACCGATACCAGCGTAATTCACAGATCGGAAATTTCCGATCCAACCTGCGGAGATCCATGAGCCACTGTCTGCGCTTTAAACGTGGCTGCTGAAATGGACTCCACAAGTGATTGCCTGCCGAAGGCTCGGATCTGCCTAGCTGGGCTGCAAACTGTTGGAGTGGATTTCCTGAACGGAGGCGCGCCCAATGAACACAGGAGTTTATGAGACACGCCCCCGCTCAGGAAAGTTCGCATCCCGCAGTTTCGCAGCAGCTAGGCAGGATACCATTGAGCAGCATTGGTGGCTAGGCCAACATTTCCGCTGTTGTGGAGAATACTTTACACTGGAAATCATCCAGAGCCAAGAGCAGGCAAGATGGCGAATGGTTGTTACACTTTACATTGCACTCGTCCTTGCGATTTCAAAATATTGACAATATGAAAACCTTGATTTTGTTGATGCTACGAGCGAGCCGAGTGTCTTTAAATTGTGCTGTTCAGATGCACGACTCTTTTGATTGATAGTGTGTGTGTGTGGTGTGTGTGTGTGTAAGGATTTTACACTTATTGCACTCTTCTATATTTCAAATATTTGACATTTTGGAATTTAATACGAATAGGGTTGACATGGACAATCAATTTGAAACCCTTACCAGTTGCATTTTATTTGTTTTCAGGATGGGATCTTTCCGTGTTAACAGGATTTCCTGTTTTTCTGACTTCCTTTTTCTGAGCTCTCGTGCTATGACTTACCTCAAGTTGCTGTGTTGGTTACAGCATACATATGGTACATATCATACTTGCCTGTTGGAGAGGAGTTTATTGTCAGCCTCATAAAATCAACAATAGATGATAATAGATAATATTAAGCAAACAGAGGCTCTGGTATCGGAGATGAGTACGGTGAATATAGACATCCAAATAGATATCCAAATTCATGTAATTTCAGGAGTGCAGATCGGAAGTGAAAAGAATGTGGATCGGTGCATCCTAGAGTCTAAAATGGTGCATGCCTTTGCTAAATAGAATGAAAAAGGACTATATTTTCTAGTATGGTACCAGAGTATGGTTGTTGAAAACAGTTGAACTAAAGTATATTTTATGATGGTTATAGAGTACTGAAAAAATGTTAAAACAATGCTGAGCGGTAGTAATGGTAAGAGGACAGAACGTGTAAATGTACAAGAAGGAGTAATCCAGCATGGAATCCACTGTGTCCATCAAGCAATGTGTTTGGAATAAAGGCAAGGGATGAATATAAGAGGGGATGTTGAAACAGTTGAGGCGTATTATCTTTGAAGACAAGGCCAAGGGGACGTTTCGTTATCGTAAAGCTGGAACAAACAGAGTAGGGGGACTGGAATTTTGTCTTTGAAAACATAAACCGCTGCTATACGCATTGACGTCTGCTTCTGTTAATTAACAGAAATGTTTTTTTGGGCTTACTCAGGGGCATATGGCTAATGGCTAAAGCTGGACTATAGCAGTACAACATAAATAGCAAGATACAGTGCTATGTTCACAGCATTGAACTAGACACCAGTACAAAATAAATATCCATTTGGACGTTTTTGTTTGCCTTACCTGACAAATATAAG